AAGTTGAATTTAGTGATTAAAAAACCCCATAAAACTTCATGATTTCTTTCTCTAACAGTTTTCTGCCATATGGCCTTCCACAGCCTTTCTGTTTGCCCTTCCTGATGGGTTTCCCGATATCACATACATAAGAATGAAATAGGCCCCTTGCACTTACAGTTTGTCTTTTAGTTACAAGCCTGTTCCCCCGAACATGGAGCTTTCAAGAGTGCGCGCTGCCTGGCAATGGTTAGTTCCTATTAGAACACAAACTTCTGAAATGTGTGTGAAGTAGTGTAGAAATTAAATAGTTTCTGACTCAAAATATAAAATACCAATTTGAGTAATATTCACGGCTGCTACGTTTTTCCTTAAAGGGCCAGATGGAGTATTTTTAGGCTTTGTGGTTTCACAGCCTCTGCTGAGAGCCATAGACGTCACAGGAAGAGAGAGATGTGGCGCTGTCCAAACAAGTTTATAAACATAGGCAGCCAGGTCTAGGTGACTGGAGAGTTTTATGTTCCATTTGGTTTTCTTATCGTATCTAACTTGCTTTGAGGACAAATAATCTTAATTATAGATTGCTTTTTTAAATGCAGGTAAAATTGACCTACAGTTACATGCACAGATCTTAGTAAATTTCAGTGAGTTTTGGAGTATGGACACCCTTGTGAAATCACTCCCCCATAAGTCAGAATGTCTCTGTCTTCCTGGAAGGCTCCTATCAGTGCCCTTGAACACCTTCCTGGTTTATGTCACAATAGGCTGTTTGTCCTGTTTTTACTCTTTTAATAAATGGAATCATTTCGGGTCCAGCTTGTTTGTCTTGCATAATGTGTTTGAGGATTTTATTGGTTGTGTCTGTATGTTACCCTGTTTTTATTGGCGAGTGGTGTCCCCTACAGAACTGACCAAGCTGTGATCGGTCCTTTGTTTCTGGTCGTTGGTGGCGTCCACTCTCAGAGCTCATGTTGTGTCACTTCATGCTCAGGGAGGAACCCTAAAGGCCTCTGGGCGCACCCGTCCCTGCCTCTGCTCTCACTGAATGCGTACATGTCCTTTGATCCCACAGGCCAATGTTGGTAACTTTTGCTTTCACCACTGCTATGTATTTTCTTAAAACACGAAGGAAGAAATTGTCCTTGACCTTCACTCCTTCCTGAAGACAGCTGGTTTCTGTTTTCCTTTCCCTGTAGCCTCAATAACTCTGGGGTTTATTGTAATTCAGATCTTCGTGGGTTCTTTTAGTCTCCGTTTTTCTTTTCTTTTCTTTCTTTTTTAAAGATTTTATGTATTTATTTGACAGACAGAGATCACAAGCAGGCAGAGGCAGGCAGAGAGAGGGGAGGAAGCAGGCTCTCCGCTGAGCAGAGAGCCCGATGTGGGGCTCGATCCCAGGACCCTGAGATCGTGACCCGAGCCGAAGGCAGAGGCTTCACCCACGGAGCCCCCCAGGCGCCCCCAGCCACGGTAATCTTAAAACATAAACGAGCTGCTTGTGTTGCCTATTCCCATAAAACTGTGTTCGGGGGAACCGCTCGCTCTCACTTCAGGTGTCCTCCGTCACCGAGCTCACTCTCCGCTCTCGATTGTACCTCCTGTTCGTTGTTCTCTTCCCAATGCCTGGCACGTGGGAGGACTCAGGAAATATTTTCAAATAAGTGATCATGGAGGATAAAAAATGTTGCATGAACTGGACTTGTGTCTTGTGAACGAAGTAACAGTCATCGATGCCCCAGCAGGGCACGTGGAAGCAGTCTGTATCCCTCAGGGAGGGTGATGCCCTGTCCTTGTGTCCCCATACGTAACTCTTGGTCGTAGCAGGAGACAGACTGGGCATTCCAGGGGCACATATGTGTTTGATGCCGCCAGTGGACTCTTCATCTTAGCACTGGAGAAGCATGCAAAATAGGGGGTCCTGTTTCTGTGTTCCCTGATGCGGGAGGCTACAGGCTAGTTGTTCCCTATTACATGATCGTTCACATTTGATTAAACTTCCAGTTGGGAGAAACCATAGAATATGTGGATGGTGCGTGATCGGAGGGTCATGCGTGAGCTGTGACGGTCTCCAGTAGGATGTTGTTTGAAGTACCCATCCTCCACCCGTCCACGTGTCCTGTGCCTTGGATGTGCCAACCAGTGTGTTAGGGAGCCTGGGCGACAGTCAGTGAAGCAGCGGGTCACAGTTCTCCGACTGAGGCGCCTGTGCCCCGGGGTTCCTCAGGTGTAGCGGCCACTGTATCCCTTTGCAGTGAGTAGCAATCTTTTATGACTTTGGGATTTGTCTTCTGGCTTAAATTTTCCCAGTTGCTGCGGCATCTCCCCGGTTTCATTGCCAGAGAAGATAGCGAATGACTCGACTCATTAACTGAAGTAAGAAGTTGAGGGATGACACGGGCTTTTCCTGGGCGCTCTCTGCTGAAAATGCGTTCGCTTTTCACACAGCTTTTCCAGCCATTGTTAGGTGGGCGAGAGGGCACTCTGCTGCCGTCTGCCTCCGATCGCTCCGTGTCGCGGCGGGTCTCCGCATTGCCACACCCTCACTGGAGATGTTCTTTCAGAACATTCCTTCTTTATGTGCCCTGCTTTGTGCCCGTCTTTGTTTTGTTTTTGTGCAGACTTAATTTTGAGGAATAAAAAACTGTCATAGTAACTAAGCCTCCACGTGTGCACGGTATGTAAACACAAGGGACCCTCCGCAAGGACCTAACGTTTTGCCGTTGCTTGAGCTCCGGGCAGGCGTGGCACCTGCTCTGTAATGGGGTCAGGCGTCGGCGGAGCACAGCTGTCCCACTCTTGCCCACGCTGCGCTCTGCTGCTTCAGAGGCAGAGCTAAAAACTGGGGACCCAGCCATGGAGACTGTCTGGCCCACAAGACCGAAACACTTACTATCTTGCGCTTTAACAAAAGCTTGCCTCCGTCTGCTCTGGAGTAAACACGCCTTCGAAAAATAACACCAAAGAAAACCTAAGTGGTAAGGGTCTGGCTGACTTTCGCTGTACCCAGCCTCGCCCTTTCTGGTGTGTAAGTACTTGGCTTTGATCCAGTTAAATTAGGCCTGAGCTGCCAGGCCGCCTGCTGTGCTGTCATTTCATCAAAACAGAAAGGAGGTTTTTCACTGTCAAGTTTTTTCTGATGTCAGAAAACTACAAATGATTTGAAATTGGATTGGGAGGGAGTCGATCTTAGGGTGTTTGCTGGCTCTTGAGAAAATCTGGGATCAACTAGACTCTGGTTGACCAAACCCTTCATCTTGGTCCCTTCGACTGGCTGTGGCCAAAACAGATAGACTCGCCCACAAAAGAACAACTTTCTCTTGAGCTCTGATGAGAAGGGGCTCTGTAGTAATTTTGTTGGAGAGACCCTGGTTGCAAGAGGGAAGTTAGCCCAAAGGGATGAGCTCCAGACCCCTGGTTAAAGGGCGTTGTTGGCGAGGTAGGCTGGGGTTCTCAGTACTCCCCACAAGCCAGCGCACTGAGAGTGCTTCATAACCTGTCCTGGGAGTGACTCACGACAAGAACCTTCTAGGAAGGGCAGTTATGTGGCTGCTTGCTCGCGTTTTTGTTTTTTTCTTTTAAGATTTTTTATTCATTTGTTTGACCGACACACAGAGAGAGCACACAAGCAGGGGGAGCAGCAGGCAGGGGAAGAGGGAGAAGCAGGCTCCCCGCTGAGCAGGGAGCCGGATGTGGGACCCTGAGATCATGACCTGAGCTGAAGGCAGAGGCTTAACCCACTGAGCCACCCAGGTGCCCTGCTCATGTTCTTAGAATGATAACTTTGTAGATTTTATAAACATGATACAGAATTTTGTAAAAAGCTCAAACAATACAGAAATGAGAGAAGAACATGATTAAAAAAAAAAAATCAAGCCATTGTATAGAAATGGATGAATGTTATGCAGACGAGAAGATGTGTTAACCTCTGGTCCCTAGTTTTTCCCAGAAACAGCCAGACATGTGGCTTCCAAAGACTTCCCTCATAGTCTGAAATAGAAGCATTTTGTTTCACTTTTCTCTGAACCTGGCATACGGGACAAACAAGGGGACGCTGATGGAATTGCTGTTGCTCAGCACCGCAGGCCCACCCACGCCCTTAAACAGGGAGGCCATTGGCATTGTCGGGCTCTGGTGTGGACAGTGCCTGCGTCCCTGGTGGGGCTGATGGGGACTCTGTACCCTCTCTCCACTGGTGTCCTGACCTCGTTGCTGCGGGTTTGCAGTGTTTCTGTTTGGCACACTTGTCCACAGCTCCCAGTGCTCTTAGGTCTTGTCCTTGGGTTTCTGTGGCTTCAGCCCCTACCCACAGATCCCTTAACCCTGGTCTTCCTTCTCCATTGCTACCTTTCCGTTTATGTCTTCGCTGGCTGGGTGTTTCAACAGATCGTTTTTTCTAGAAGCTCCTTGTTCCATACGTTCTCGTGTCTGTGTGAACGTGCGTCTGTGGGGACTGTGCCTGAGCGTAACGTTCTTAGGTCGGAAGTGTTGACACGCTGCCCTGCCGCCCGTCCCTGCTGCTCGGGCAGCCAGGGGATCGGCCGCTGGGCACAAGCGATGTGTCACTTTGTTTCTTAATCTCTGGGTTTGTGGAGAAATGATTTTTTTTAAAGATTTTATTTGTTTATTCATGAGAGACAGAGAGGCAGAGGGGGAAGCAGGGTCCCTGGAGCCGGAAGCCTGACGCGGGACCCTGAGCCCGAGGGCAGACGTTTAACCCACTGAGCCACCCAGGCGCCTCAGATGCGATTTTTTATTAAGCAAGGATTAGCCTTTAGAAGACTTCGGATATAGTTACTGGCATTCCATTGAAACTAAGAAAATTGATTCTGAATTAATTCTGTCGGGTTTTCTTAGGATGGTTCTGCCCGAGGCTAGGACATTTTTGATGTTCAGTGCGGTGACATCTGAAATCCGGTGTGCGCACTGACTGTTAAGTCATACGGGTGATTCATGATTTAAAATGTGACCGTTTCACAGGGGGAACCTTTGTCTTCAGTCACATGAAGTAGCTGCTCACAGACGGGCGCATCTCAGCGGGCCGGCTGGGCTCCAGGAAGACGGCAGTAAAGCAACTATCCCGATAGAGTGAGTCACGTCCGTGTTTGGTTTCCCAGTGCGCGTAGAGCTGATGCCCGAGCGATACTGTTGTCTGGTAAAGGCGCAATAGCGTTTCGTGTTTGTTTGTTTGTTTTAAGTAAAACAAACCATAAGAGACTCTCAATCTCACAAAACAGACTGAGGGCTGCCTGGGGGAGGGGGAGGGAGAGGGTGGCTGGGTGACGGACACTGGGGAGGGTGTGTGCTGTGACGTGTGTAAGCCTGACGAGTCACAGACCTGCACCCCTGCGGCAAACAATACATGATATGTTAATAAAAATAATTTTTTAAAAAGTAAATACTTCTAAAAAAATGCTAACCATCATCTGAGCTGTTGAGTCAGAATCACTGATCACAGATCAGCATGACAAATATACTAACAATGAAGACATTTGAAATACTGCAAGAATTACCAGAATGTGACACAAAGACATAAAGTGAGCAAATGCTGTTGGGAAAGAGACTAGCTTGACACATAGTTGCCAGGAATCTTCAGTTTGCTGAAATAAAAGAAAAGCATTACCTTGAAGAGGCAGCATGGAGAGGTATGGCTGTAGTTGATTGTTTTTACGGAGCAGACGTAGAAGTATTAGTTGTTGGTGTGTCTGTGGATGGGGTCTGGAAGCCCAGTATTCAGTAGGCATTGGGTAACAGAATACAGACAAAGAAATTACTGAGGGTGGGAGGGTCACGGTGCTGCGGTCCTTCTGTCGTGGACTCGCCGGAGGACTTACTTAGTCCTGGACGGTTGGCCCCATCAGTAACAGTGCCTGCTTCTGCCTGAGGCTGTCTTGGTTCTGCTGGCTCCGTGCTAGCCTGGTCCTGGAGGGCCACGGAAGAAGAGGGAGACTCAGAGCACTGCGGGGCCTTGCCCCAGGTCACTCAGCTGGACACCTTCCCGCTGGGCTTAGAGTCCTCACTTCCTGATTGTAAAACCCGCGACCTCTCTCTCGGGTGGCCCTGAGACTTGTTTTATTATCTGCCCTCAGCAACAGCATCATCCCCTGGGCTTAGGGGCCGGGTGGTTTACCTGGTGTCTCTAGGGTTAGGGTGATTCCCTTGGGTTTGGGTTCAGATCCTTCCATCACCTCTCTGTGCGTCCATCTCTGCATCTGCGATGGACTGCCATCGAACCTGCCTGGTGAGGGGTGGGGAAGCCTGGGCCCCATGGACTGACACACTCGAGGAACCAAGTTGGGTGGTCCAGGTGGGCCGTGGCATGGAGCGGCCTGGCCCGTGGGGGCTCCCTTCTCCTTTCCATTGTGCACACTAACCTTTGCGTTCTGTGTTGTCATTGGGCACGGAGAGAGAAGTGGGACCCTGCCTCCCATGGGCATGTGGAGGGATTGCTCCCGTGTCTCCTGCCTTTGTTTCTTTCTTTCTTTTAATTTATTTATTTAAAGATTTTATTTATTTATTTGACAGAGAGAGAGACCACAAGTAGGCAGAGAGGCAGGCAGGGGGGGAGGGGTGGAGAGGAAGCAGGCTCCCTGCTGAGCAGAGAGCCCCACTCGACTGGGGTGGGGGGGCTTGATCCCAGGACCCTGAGACCATGACCTGAGCCAAAGGCAGAGGCTCATCCCTCTGAGCCACCCAGGTGCCCCTCTTTCTTTCTTTTTTAAAGATTTTATTTGTCAGAGAGAAAGCGCACAAGTTGGGGAGGAGCAGAAGGGAAGCAGGCTTCCTGCTGAGCAAGGAGCCTGATGCGGGGACTCGATCCCAGGGCCCCGGGATCTGGCCCAAGCTAAAGGCAGACGCCTCACCGACTAAGCCACTCGGCCCCCCCTTCCTGCCATCATTTCTTCTGCCACAAGCCCAGATGACACCAGGGTTTTTTATCTGAAGTTTCCCTCCTCCTTCACTTCCTTCCCTGTTCTGTTGATGTGTGTCCTCAGATGGGTGTTTTGTTTTAGAAATGAGGAGCGTGGCTTGTCCCAGACTCTAACGTTTGTGTATTCTTCTGACCTTGCACTTGGTTGATAATAGAATCTTTTCATCTTAGAATATGAAGCTTTTTTTGTGCTGGGAAGCTCTCAGGCTTGACCCGGACTCCGGGTGCATCACTCGTGCCGGCCAGCACTTTTCAGCACGCACATGTGTGTTTTCTTGCCCATCTAGTTTTGTTCTCTCTTGTTTTTAATGGACTTTCCCCCCGGCTTGATGTATCCCTTACCTTTCACATTCCTGCCAGACCAATTTTTCTCCCATTTTCTGTTTTCTTTGTGCTGGTTCTCTCTCTGTAAGGTACTTCCCAGGTTGTAACTTCTCTCCGCTCTGTGGCTTCACCCCCTGGAGCTGTGCTGCCCTCTCGTCGCCTTCCTGCTCCTACGGCGATTGCCGACCCTGCTCTTTGCTCCCTCTCCTTCGCAGTTTACTTTTGTCCACAGTTTCTTTTGATTTTATAAAAGCCTTCAACCTCAGAACTTAAAAGCTTGTCATCAGGGGCGCCTGGGTGGCTCAGTGGGTGAAGCGTCTGCCTTCAGCTTAGGTCATGATCTCAGGGTCCTGGGATCGAGTCTGGCATCAGGCTCCCTGTTAACTGGGGAGCCTGCTTCTCCCTCTCCCTCTGCTGCTCCCCCTGCTTGTGATTTCTCTCTCTCTCTGACAAATAAAATCTTAAAAAACAAACAAAAAAAAACCTTGCCATTTTTCCTCTGGGGTCATCAACTCTTTCTTTGTACTTTTTTTTCTACTTGATAAACCTTTTTTTTTTTTTAAACACCTTCAGGGTTACAGAAAAGTTGGACAGAACTTATAGAGAATTCTCGTGTATTTCTTTCCTTTCCCTCAACCCCACAGTTTTCCGTTTGCCCCCATAGTTTGTATCAGAGTGGTACATTGTTAAAACTGATGATCCTGTATTGACACATTTTTTTTAAAAGATTTTACTTATTTATTTGAGAGAGAGAGAAAGAGAGCATGAGCAGCGGAGGGGCAGAGGCAGAGGGAGAAGCAGACCCCCATCTGAGCAGGGAGCGCGATGGGGAACTTGGTCCCAGGACCCTGAGATCATCACCTGAGGCTGAGGTGAAGGCAGACGCCCCACCGACTGAACCCCCCAGGAGCCCCTGTATTGATCCATTATTTTTTTTTTTAAGATTTTATGTATTTATTTGACAGAGAAAGATCACAAGCAGGCAGAGAGGCAGAGAGAGAGGAGGAAGCAGGCTCCCTGCGGAGCAGAGAGCCTGATGCGGGGCTCGATCCCAGGACCCTGAGATCACAACCCGAGCCGAAGGCAGAGGCTTAACCACTGAGCCACCCAGGTGCCTGTATTGATCCATTATTAACCAAAGTCCGTAGTTGACCTCAGTGGTCACTCGTCATGGTGCACATTCTGTGGGATTTGACAAACATAATCACATTTTTCTGCCACTGTCGCGCTGCACAGCGTGGTTTCATCCCCTGAAGATCTCTGTGCTCCTCCTCTTAATCCCTCCCTCCTCCAGCCCCCCCCAGCGACCTCCGCTCCCTCCTGTCCCTGGAGTTTCGCCTTTTCCAGAATGTCGTAGAGATGGAATCACACAGGGTGTAGCCTTTTCGCGGCTCCGTAGCTGGTTTCTGTCCAGCACTGAGGACTGCCCGCTGTCTGCGTGGACGCAGCTTGTGCGGTCACTCACTGAAGGACGTCTGAGCTGCTTCTGAGTTCTGGTGATGATGAGTACAGTGACTTATTTTTAAGTAGGAGTAGCCTAGAGTCACAGAGTAGATCATTAAATCGGTGTTGAATTTAGAAACTAAGCCCATCCCCTCCTTTTTCACATGGTTGACCTCGGGGCAGTGTCTGCAAGTGTGAGTGTGTGACGGAGCTGGGCGCTGCCTCAGCCCGTCGTGCTCCCTTCACAGAGCGGACAGAATGCGGAGATTGGAAGCCCTCTTTTTAGGGGCACCACTGTATTTCCTGGAAAGGTGGTTTATTTATTATTTTTTGTTAACTCTAAGGAGCAGGAAAGAGACTTTAGCTAGTCCCAACTTGCGGCTGCACGTGTTTCTGGAGAAGCAGACACACCTTTAGCGTGGTTGACCCCTGAACTTGAAATCAGCTCTGGCTCTGGGCCTGCTTCTGTGACTAATTATTTGTGTATTTTGGTCAATCATTTTGCATGTCTGGGCTGCCCTTTGATCTACTGGGAGGTGAAGGAATTGGGCTAAGACCCCATCTAAGGGCTCTTCCCCACTGCTTTCTTGCTTCTGTCTTTGCTAGATCTCGCCTTCGTTGCTGGTAACAGTATGCTCTGTTATCTCTAGTTAAAGCTTCCTTTACTGGTCTAAACCTACCAAGTAACTTGAATTAGTCTAGTAATGAGCTTTTAATTGCAATTTTAATTAAGATGATTATAAAGTCGCCCGTAGTTGTAAGAAATGATGACACTTTGCCTGGTCTTTCCCAGCGGTGACATTTTGCCAAACTCTAGTTTACTCTACTCTGGGTGGCTCAGTCGTTAAGCGTCTGCCTTCAGCTCCGGTATGATCCTCAGGGTCCTGGGATCCAGCCCTGCATCAAGCCCCACATTGAGCCCCACATTCGTGCTCAGCAGGAAGCCTGCTTTCCCTCTCCCACTGCCCCCCCTTGTGTTCCTGCTCTTGCTGTCAAATAAATAAATAAATAAAATCTTTAAAAAAAACAAAACAAAACAAAAAACAAAACAGAACAAAACTATCCTAACCAGGATACTGATGTTGGTATGATTTACCAGTCCTACCCGGATCTCCCCACCTTTAGGTTACTGACTCCTGTGTGCGTGAGGACCTCTGCAGGGGTAGCACCTGCGCAGGTCTGCGTGTCCACCGCCGGACTCAAGATCCTGGAATTCTCCATATGGAGGCCACCCCTATCCCACTCACATCCCATCCTTGACCCCTTGCAACCAGCAATCTGTCTTGTGTTTCTAAAGTCGTATCGTATCCAAAATCCATTTGTACAGTGTGTGACCTCGTGGGCTTGGCCTTTATCTGCTCATGCAGTTCTGTGCAGGTCCGTCTGGGCTACACGCACAGCACGGCTCTGTTTGGGTTTGCTAAGTAGTGTCGCGGTGTGCGCATGTGTGCTGCAGTTCAAGGATGTCTGGACTGATCCGAGTTTGGGGCTGTTACAGATAAAGCTGCTCTGAATGTTGTGTGCGGGTTTTTACGCGAACATGTATTTCCTTTTCCTCCGGCTGAGTCAGCCAGGAGCCGACCCGCTGGGTCCTGCAGCAGGTGTGTGCTGGGTCGTTTCCAGAGCTGCCTGGGGCCCTTGGAAGCTGTATCTGCTCTGCCCTCCACTTCTGGGCAACCTGTGTGGACGGCTTTGCGTTCGCTGGAGTTTCACGTAAGGACCCTGCCTTGTCTTTGGATCTGGCCCCTTCGATTCAGCGGCAGCTGAGTCGTCGGTGGCGTGTGCGTGTCGGAGGCTCATTCCCTCCCCGCTGAGCAGTCGACCGCCTGGGGTCGACCCTTTCTGTTTATCCGCTCTCCGGTCGGCGGACACTGGGGTTGTTTCCAGACTTTGGCTGTTGTGAGTGAAACTGCCGCGGACATTGGCCTGTGAGTCTCTGTGTCGACGTGTGTGTTCATTTCCTGTAGGTGCGCACCGCGTCCGGCGGACGGACTGCGCGTCCTGCCCGGGGAGTGCGTGTGTGCCTTGGGGGGCGACAGCTCGGTTGCCTCACACCCTGCTGAGACTTGACAGGGCTCGTCTTCCCAGGCCGGCCGCTCTGGTGGACCCGTGTTCTGCGCCTCTGAGTGACAGGATGAGCCTCTTCCGATGTACTCCTGACCCTGTGTGTGCCCGTGTCGCTGTGGCCAGCATATGCCCTTCGTTTTCCCATACAAACTTTGAGATCGTTTTCTCAATTTTTGCAAAAAAAGCCTGCTGGGATTAGAGTTAAGATTGTATTGATTCTCTAGATCAGTTTGGAGAAAATTAAGTCTTTTCTGATCCATGAACATGATAAAGCGCAATTTTTTTTTTTTTTTAATTTTTGTTTCTCTTGGCAACGTGTTGTTTTCAATGTAGGGTTTGTATGTCTTTTGTTGAATTTTATTCCTAAATCTGTGATTTTGGATGCTGCTGTAAATGAAACCTGTAGTAGTAATATTTTCCAATTGTTTACTACTCTCAAATAAAAATACGGTTGCTTTAGGGGCGCCTGGGTGGCTCAGCTGTTGATCGTCTGCCTTCAGCTCAGGTCGTGATTCCAGGGTCCTGGGATCGAGCCCCTCATCTGGCTCTCTGCTCAGTGGGGAGCCTGCTTCCCCCTCTCCCACTCTCCGTCCTTGTGTTCCCTCTCTCACTGTGTCTCTCTGTCAAATAAATAAAATTAAAATATATATATATATATGTATATATATAGTTGTTTTAAATATTTATATCCTGTGACCTTGCTAAATTAACTTTTTAGTTGTAGTTGGTTTTTTGTTTCATTGTTTTTGTTTTTTGTTGATCCCTTAGGGTTTTCTGTGTAAACAACCCAGTCATATCAGCTGTAGGGTTTCGGTTGGATGTCCTTTATCAGACCGAGAAAGTTCCCAATGTATTGAGAATTTTTTATTTTTAAAATTTTTTTAAAGACTTTATTTATTTATTTGAGAGCGAGTAAGCCAAGTCCAACAGGGGAGAGACAGAGGGAGAAGCAGGCTCCCTACTGACCAGGAAGCCCGATGGCCAGCTCCATCCCAGGATACTGAGATCCTGGCCTAAGCTGAAGGCAGACGGTCAACTGACTGAGCCACCTAGCACCCTACTGAGAAGTGTTACAGTCATGACTTAGTGTTGAACTCGCTGTTGCATCGGCGAGTCTTCGAGATGGTCATGTGGTTTACCTCAGTTCTGTGATATGGTAGACACGTTTGTTTGTTCTGAAATGTTAAATCAGGCTTGCCTTCTTGGGATAATTTTTACTCATAGATTCAATTTGCTAATATTTTGTTAAGGATTTTTACGTCTATACTTGTAATGGATTTTTTGGTAATGTCTTTGTGAGGTTGTGCTGGCCTCCAAAAACAAAAAGTCCCCTTCTCCTCTGTTTTTGAAAAACTTTGTCCAAGATTGATGTCTTTCTTCCTTGGATATTGGGTAGAAAAGTCATCCGGGCCTGGAACTTTGTTTGTGGGAAGGTTTCCTTTCTTTCTTTTTTTTTAAGATGTTATTTATTTATTTGACAGAGATCACAAGTAGGCAGAGAGGCAGGCAGAGAGAGAGGAGGAAGCAGGCTCCCCGCTGAGCAGAGAGCCAGATGCGGGGCTTGAAACCAGGACCCTGGGATCATGACCTGAGCCAAAGGCAGAGGCTTTAACCCACTGAGCCACCCAGGAGCCCCTGTGGGAAGGTTTTCTATTACAGATTCAATTCTGTTAATGCGTTTAGGACTATTCAGATTTTCTGGTTGGGTAAATTGTGTTTTTCAAGGCATTTATCTGTTCCATCTAATTGCTTGGCATAAAGTTGTCCATAATTTTTTCTATCATTTTTGTGCCTGTAGGGTCTGTAGTGATGACCCCTCCTTTTTTCCTTCCTCGTGTCACTGATTTCTGTTCTTTTTTTTTTTTTTTTTTTTTGCTGTTTATCAATTTTTTTTTTTTTTTTAAAAAGCCAACTTTTGGCTTTGTTAACTTTCTTTGTTGTTTTTCCGTTTTTTATTTTGTTGATTTCTGCTCTTTATTATTCCCTTCCTTCCATTTCCTTTGGGTCCTGCTGTTTCTGGTGTTGTGAACTTGAATCTTAGGTCTTGGCTATATGTTATATTTTACTATTAAATTAAAAATAACTTTTCTTACGATTTCTTCTTTGGGTTACATGTTACTTAGCAGTGTGTTGGATGTTAAAAACACTTGAGGCTTTGGGGGCACCTGGGTGGCTCAGTGGGTTAAGCGTCTGACTTTAGCTCAGGTCATGATCAGGGTCCTAAGATCAAGTCCCGCGTCAGGTTCTCTGCTCAGTGGGAAGCCTGCTTCTCCCTCTCCTTCTGCTGCTCCCTCTGGTTATGCTCGCGCGCTCTCTCAAAAAAAAAAAAAAAAATTCTATTAAAAAAATTCTTGAGATTTTCTTAGGTATCTTAATGTTGGGTTTCTAACTTAATTCTGCTAAGGTCAGAGAGCACACGGTGCATGATTTCAGCCCATTAAATTTATTGAAATTTGTTTTAAAGTCTAACATGTGGCATGTCTTCATGATTTAAAAAAAAAAAACTGTTTATGAATGTTGGGTGTCCCACACGTATCAATCAGGTCATGGGGTGTAGTGTTTTTAGGATCATCCATTTTTCTTGTTTGTTGTTGTTCATTCTGTGTTTCTCCGAGAGGGGTGCTAAGATTTTTATAGCTGCGGGTTGTCTGTTTCTCCTTTAATTCTGTCAGGACTTGGATTCAAGCATTCTGAGGCTCTGTCTTTAAAGTGTGTAGTTGGGTCTTGAGTTTTTCTCCATTCTGGTAACCTCTTTTTTTTTATTGGACTTTTGAGTCTAAAGAGATCATTTTTTTCTTTTAAAAGGCTTTTTAACTGTACTTTTTGGGATTTGTTGTTGTTGTTGTTAAAGATTTTATTTATTTACATGATAGAGACAGCGAGAGAGGGAACATAAGCCGGGGGAGTGGGAGAGGGAGAAGCAGGCTTCCCGCCCAGCCTGGGATCATGACTTGAGCAGAAGGCAGACACTTAACAGCTGAGCCACCCAGGTGCCCCACTTCTTTGGATTTTTTAATTTCGAGGTTGCTCTGGAGATTACAGTAAACCCAGTTTTTTACAGTCTGCTCAGTGTGGTGGTCCTCTAGCCCTCCACAGGCGTAGCCTCTGGTCTCCACATGGGACCACTCCCCACAGCCCTTCACGTTGTGTCTGTGACCCGCATGGCCCCCAACCAGCGGTGTTGTGATTGCTTGCTTCAAACAGTCGTCTGGAGTAGAGGGCTTCAGCTCTGCGGTTGGACGCTTTATCAATACTTTTTGATGTTTTCTTTGCGGTTTTCTTACAGATTAACCTACCATGGCCGACCAGAGACAGCGCTCACTCTCTACCTCTGGGGAATCATTGTACCATGTTCTGGGGCTGGACAAGAACGCAACCTCAGATGACATTAAAAAGTCCTATCGGTAAGAGGGTCTTGTGCCTTGTGTGCTTCGATCTGCATTTATCAGGAACCACTGCGTGTGTCTCCCCCTGCCTGGCCCGTAGGTGACTGGGACCCGTAGCTCCATCTTTGTGTGCGTCATGTGCCCCTTGTAGCTTAAAATTCTCATATCAGTACTTTCGTGGCAACAGAAAAGTAACACTTTGTAGATGACACACACTATGTGCCCTGGAGCGGCCGGTCGCCCTGGGAAGCAGGTCTGAGCCTTCTCCTTCCCGCAGGCCCTCCCGTAGCCTTTGGAGGCAACTAACCTGTGGCTTCGTGGAGTCAGCTGCAGAGAGAGACACACATCCTCGGTGATCCCTACCCTTGCAGCGACCCTCCTGTGTGTCCTTCCCCTTGTGTACTTCTCACACACAGGAGAAAATAGGCCTGTGGTGCACCCCTTGCCTGGCACCGTTATTTGGCCAAATGCGCAGTTAGCCTGCAAGGACACTAGAGGTCAGCAGTGGGGTCTGCCTCTGAGCTCGGCCAGAGGGGCGGGCTGCCGGCTGGGCTGCTGGGGGTAGCCCGCGCCTGGGGACTCCCTGCTCTGTGGCAGAGCCAGGAGGCTTGCCCCGAGGCAGCTGCAGAGCTTTCTTCGGACTGTGAACTGCTCGAACTCCGTGGAGAGTTGGGAGGTGACACGTACTGGAGAGATGTTTCCTGCACTGGGCCCTCCCTCTCATGGACGAGCATGAAATAAGGGACAAGAAATGGTTTTGTTTGCAGGAAACTTGCCTTGAAATATCACCCCGACAAGAACCCCGATAACCCAGAGGCTGCAGACAAGTTTAAGGAGATCAACAACGCCCATGCCATCCTGACGGACGCCACAAAAAGAAACATCTACGACAAGTACGGCTCGCTGGGGCTCTACGTGGCTGAGCAGTTTGGGGAGGAGAACGTGAACACCTACTTCGTGCTCTCCAGTTGGTGGGCCAAGGTGAGGGGAGCAGGCGGCCCCGTGCCGCGCTCCGGGTGCCCCGGGAGAGTCTCCTGCCCGGTAGGGATCAGGGTCCGGCAGAGCGAGGGCGTTTGGGCCAAGTGCTCCTTGCTCCTGAGCCTTGGTGTCCCGGCGTCTGGCTCCCTTTTCCGTCACCCCGTGTCAGCGCGGGGCCTGGTCTCGGCCGCTGGTGGCGCGTAGCCGGCTCAGGAGCCCACGAGCGGCCGCCAGAAGGCTCCCGGCAGACCCCACGGCGAGCTGGCCGTGTCACTCGGCTCACGAGTCACCGTCCGTTCTTGCACAGAGATCGGAAGGGACCTTTTCCGTCCCGTCGTGGGCAGATGCTCTTATCAGTGCAGGGGAAGACTTGTCGGAAGTCTCTGTGACTTGACACACTTCGGACATACCATTTCTGTGCTTTTCTGGACACTTACCCGTGTCCTCCTCCTGCCGCGAGCACGTGTGGCCCACGGACGCCTTCCTGCCCGTCTTCGTAGGTCCCTCCTCGGGGCCTGTGCGCTCTGTCCCTGTCTTCCCGCCCCGGCTCTGGCAGGACAGAGGCCTCTGCGGCGGCCACCCACCCCCCACCCCTGGGAGCTGTGCGGGGCCGGGGGGAGGCGCTCCCGGAGGTGGCCCCGCAGCCAGCACCCCTGTGCCCCGCCGCAGCTGCTGTTCGTGGTGTGTGGGGCGCTCACCTGCTGCTACTGCTGCTGCTGCCTGTGCTGCTGCTTCAACTGCTGCTGCGGCCGCTGCAAGCCCCGGGCGCCTGCGGGCGACGACGCCGACTTCTACGTGTCCCCTGAGGACCTGGAGGCGCAGCTGCAGTCGGACGAGCGGGGTGAGTGCCCGCCGCGGGCCGCCGAGCGGGCGCGGGCCGGGCGGGGCGGGCCCTGAACCCTGCCGCCCTGTCTTGTCGAACAGGAGGGCTCTGACTGTGCGGGCGTGTGTGTGGTGGCGGCGGGGACTGTTGAGGTGTGAACGTGGACACTCGAGGTAACGGCGGACGCAGGGGCCGTCCCCACCCGTGGCCGGAAGCGCCGCAGCTCCGCGGGCACCGAGTAGCGGGGGAGGGACCGAGGCGACGGAGGCAGGCCGAGCTGGGGGGAGGCCCGCAGACAGCCTCTCCCCTCTGCACCCCCCTGCCCCTGCCCACCCCCTCACCCGGCAGAGCGGCCAGGCCGTGGAGCACGGACGGTGTCGGGGCCACGCGTGCCATCGCGGCCGCCCGCGCCGATGAGCATGCGTGTGCTTGCTTTGCAGAGGCCACAGACACGCCCGTCGTCGTACAGCCCGCGTCGGCCACGGAGACCACCCAGCTCACGGCCGACTCCCACCCCAGCTACCACACCGACGGCTTCAACTAGGCCCAGGAGTGGCCGCGGTAGAGGCTAGCCCGGCCACTTCACCCCTAGAGTCACGGACCGTAGTCACAGAGATGGGGAGCGCGCAGCCGCCGGCCCGCCGGGGCCCTGCCCACCTCTGTGCCCGCCCGCCTGTCGCCCCCACCACGTGAAGTGCGTCGCATGCAGTATTCAAAGCAGTTTAGCTACGGTCTCCTCCCCCTTCTGTTTCCTCCTTTTCTAATAGCATGTACGGGTTCTGTTCCATGTCTGTGCTGTGGACGTGCTGCGGCGTGACCGTGTTAACCAGACCGTGGATCTTCCTCGGGGCTTACGATTCGCTGCACCGACCACGGCTGCGTGCTGGGTCCCCACCAGGCAGGCTGGGGCAGGAGGGGTGGCTCCTTTCCCTGGTGTCGGTGGGGGCCGGAGGCGGGTGCTGCCTGGCGGGGGCTGGGAGGTCCAGTCCGCATCGTGCTTGGCGGCGGTATGGACGCAGGCAGAGCCTCTGGACGCCGTACTGGGAAGGAGCTGGCATGTCCTCCCACTTTGCCCGGTCCCGTCAGCGCTTCCGTGGTGTTGGTTGTGCGGGCCTGTCTGCCTTGGTTGCTTGGCCTTGCGGCAGGGTCTTTCCCATGGGGAGGCTTGTTGTGGAAAGTGTGGGAGGCTCTGGTGACCACAGGACCATATTTTCTACCTGGGCACGGCCTCGGTTTCCATGTCATGTGGTCCTCGGGGCACACGCCCTCACCAGGCGCTGCTTCTACTGCGCTCCCACCCTGTCCCCAAGCCACGAGCTGGACTGATGGGGCCACATTCCTCCGTCTCCTCCACATTCCTTCAGGCCCGCCTGGCCTTCTGGTGGTCCTTCCTGGACCTCTAGGAACCACAGATGGTAGCAGTGACCGGTGTGCTGTTGTCAGAGGGGCTGACCGTCCAGGTCGCGGGTGGAGCGCGGCTGGATAGCCCCGGGAAGCACCCGCGGGGAGCCCAGCCCTCTTCTCTGTGCTTCCCAGAGCTCATACCCACCCCACTGTCCTTCGCCTGTTCCCTTCAGTCACCGTCGATGGTTCAGGCAGAGCTAGAGATGCCGGGTTCTTGGAGGAAGGACCAGCTGGACCAAAGGCACAGCCTGGTGCCCTTGGCTTGTGAGCCGGCGGCCTGACCGCGGACCCCACTCGCCGTTGTCTCGAGCAGAGCCTTCTGTGAACTGCGGGAAGTCAGTCCCTCTTGTCTTTGACCCAGAACTTGTGGGTGGTGCGTCTGCTGCAGGGGACGAGGAAACGGGTTATGATGGGCCCGTGCTGGCCCAGAGGTCACAGTGGCCCCCGCACCCCCAGCAGCCCTGGATGTGGCGTGGCTCCCTGCTGGGCCTGCACTGGTCACTGGAGACCCAAGCGGTTTCCACAGAAGGAACCAATGGCTGCTGGTGCGTGTCTCCTGCGTGTCCAGTAGGCGAAGAACGAGGAGGACCGTGTCGGCTCAGGCGCGCCAGAGCGTGTCCCATGCCCACTGTTTCCACCACCACCAGCCCGCACCCCGCTCACCTGCTGGGCCTTGGCCCTTGTCTGCCCACCCACAGCTGTGCCGAGTGCGGGTTCTTACCGGCCTGGAACGGGCGGTGACGGGAGGGCGGCGTCCGTGCAGAATGTGGACAGGCTCCGAGCGCAGTGCTGAGGGGAGGCGGGTTGTGGCCGGGTTGTAGTTGTTGCAGTTGTGGCCACTCCCAGGTCCTTGGGCAGGTTTGTGGTCCTTTGTTTGTTTTCTGTTGTTGTTTTTGGCTTTTGTTCATTAAAATAATCATGAAGACATTCAGTGAGAGAAAATTTGCACTATGATCTTAAATTATGCTAAAATCAGACATCACGAAAGGATAAGAAATTCACTGACCCACCCTGGACAAGGGAGGAGGTAAGACCACAGGTTCATCTTCTGTGCCAGTCCCGACCCAGCAACAAGAACGCAGCTTTGTGATGTTTCTGAAAATAACTTTCTTGACCTGTTTTTCACTGGAATGGCCAAGAACCAAGTTCAAAGCTGGGACTTGAGGTAGCAAGCCTCCCCACTGCGGGGGTTCCCTGCAGCTCTGTGGCCGGGAAACCTCAAGTCCCACCACACAGGTCCGAGCGAGTCCTCGACGGGTGGCTTCCACGCGACAGAACGGGAAGCTCCTCTGGGGACCTGGGTTCAGGGGGAGGAGCAGGTCTGGAAGGTTGTCCAACCCGGGCTCCTGTAGAATTTGTAAAAACTAAATAAATCATGACAGTGATGATAACAACCCTAAAGGTGGTGGTGGTAATGATTGCCCAAGGCCCAGGGACCCCAGGGTCCAGACGGGGACCTCGAACTCTCCCCGCCTGGCCCTGAAGGCATTTCCACCTGGTGATTCTGACGCAGAGACCTTCCGAAGTCGAAGTTGGCTGTACTCGCTAGCCACCCCGGTTGCGGTTCCCTTTTCCTGGAGTGGTCCACGTGTTTCCCAGGTCTGGAGGGGCGACTGTCTGCCCACCACACGGCCGCGAGAGCCCCTGAGCCCTCACCCTAGGGCTGCCCGGAGCCCGGGCCGCGTGTGGCCGGGGAGTGCCGGGCCGGTTCAGGCTGAAGCCCGTCCCGTGTCACAAAGTGCGGGGCTTGACCCAGGGGGCCCCCAGAGTAGCCGGTGGCTGGTGGGGAGCGTAGGAGGGCCCCGCGGGGCGGCTGCTGGCAGCTGCCGGCGTGTACGCTTCTGTTCCCGCTCCGTGATGGGGTTGGTCTTCTCTCGTCTTCCCTTTGGCTTTCTTCTGCTTTCAAACTGCTTTAGATGTTACCGCTCAGTGTGTGTGAGGCTTCGTAGTTCCCGGTCAGTGCTGCGGGGGAAGCCGCTGCTGCCGTGCCTGGGGCTCAGAGCAGGTGGCCTTTCCACGCTGTTGGCCGCCCAGTGTGGCTGTGTCGGGGCTGCTGCTGTGCGTTCTGACCGCAGCTGGGCCCGGTGGGCGAGCTCGAGCTGGAGGAGGGCCTGCTGGTGCGGCTGGCGGTCGGGGAGACGCGTGGCCTCCTGGCAGCTGGCCCTTGGGATGGGACAGCCAGCAAGTGGGGTGGGCACCTGCCTGCAGGCAGAGCTCGGGGAGCCTCCCGAGGGGCGGGTGTGAGTGTGGAGAGAGTGGCTGCTGTCCGTCCTTCCTCAACATGCTGCTCTGTGAGCCGGTGTGACATAGGACTGTCCTGCCCGTTGTTGTTACTTTGGTTGTGAACCGTCCCATGGAATTGGCAAAAGCTCCATTTTTACTCTCCTTCCACGCATGGCTGGCAGTGTGTGCAGTGGGTGTGGGCAGCGGGCGTATTTCTGTGTGTGTACATACGTGTATATGTATATACCCCGCTGTGGGCGTGACTGCTGCTGTCCCGCGGTCCGACCCCAGACGGCCTGGGTTTCCTGGGAGTCGGGTCTTGAACAGGGCCTTGGTGGCGCACTCCTTTGCTGGATGCGCAGAGGTGAACACCGGCCCTGGTGTGTGCCTGGGGTTTGCACGTGCTGTGGCAGCCTCGTCCTGCCAGCGGCACCTTCTCTGGCGGGAGGGTGCTGGGGCTCCCGAGGGGGTGACTGTCACAGTGCCAAGCCCATCCCTGGGGGCCCACCCGTCTGCTCACTTGATCTCCAGGTGAGTGTCCTTTTGTGACATCTGGGTGGTTGGAAGCCCTTCCCACCCTTGAAACATTAAAACCAATTTTCTGAGCCTCAGATAGCAGTCAGTGACAAAGGGCATTCCAAAGGGGACTCTGCCCCAACTGCAGGTCTGGCTTGGGAGGGGGCCACTGGGAAGGAGGAGGGGCGACTCGATGCCGTCCTTGAGGAAGGGGCTGGGCTCAGGTACAGGCAGTAGCTTTTGGTAGATTTTGTTTCCCTAGAAAATGGGACAATGTTTCAAGCTAAGTGAGGGGAGGTAGTTTACACTGAAATACGTGTGTGTGTGAGTGTGTGTGTGTGTGTGTGTGTGTGTGTACACACACACACATTGTCTGAAAATACTAAATGCAATGCATGGCAAGCAGCTGTCCGTGCGCTGGTTTCTGGTTTCGTCCTGTTGCTGGAATCCCACAGCGCTAGGTGGGTGTGCGTCTGACCCCAACCCCCGTGTGCGCCCCAAGGGCCCGGCTGGAGGCTTAGGATGGTTCCGCGGTGATCTCCATCTTGTATGTCTGAATGTTGACCTTAAGATATTGATAACCGTTGTAAAATAAATGTTTTCACTGCAAACCAGGCATGTGTCTCATTCAGTGACCCCACAGAGCCCTTTTCCAGGGGAGTCGTGCACGGCGGGGCGGGGGACTCACTCCCGTGTTCGCGGCTCAAGTGTGGACCAAGGCCCTCCTAGGTTCTGTTTCCAGGTGCTGTCCGGGCACCCCCAGCGGCGTGAGGAAAGGGTCCTGTAAGCCCGGGTGGCTCAGACTGGGTTCTGCAGCCCTCCCGGGACACGTCCTTGCTTCTGCTCTCCCCTCCTCTGCACCTGCCTGACTCGGTAACTCCTCCCACCACCCCAGCCCGGGACTGTCCCCACCGCCCACACAGCCGGGCATCACCCTCCATCCTGCGGTCACGAAAGCAGGCTGCTGGGCTGCAGGGGTCCGGAGCAGCTCGCCAGCCTGGGCCTGAGCCCTCGGCTACACAGCGGCCCTGTCCTCGGCTGGTCGCCACAAGGTGGACGAAGGGGGACAGCCGCGTCCCTCACACCTGGGCCTGTGCTCCGTGCCAAGATGTGTCCACCTCTGCGCCTGGCCCTTCAGAGGGGGGCTTCCTGGGATTGTCCCACTGCCTCCTCCACCCAGGGAATCAGTGTGGGGTATACTCACGTCCTCCTGCCTGGACACGGCTGTCGTGTCCACCTGGGTCACGTCCATGCCAGCAGCGAGTCGGGTGGGCCAGATGGCGGACGGTCAGGTCATGACTCCCAGGGGCTTCTGAGAGCATGGAGCAGGGCCTGGCCGGGGACTCTGGGTGGGTCACAGCCTCGGGTGTCCGGCCCCACTGACACCACTTCTGTGCCTCTGTCTTCTCTTCCTGGAGGTAAATGTCTAGTGGCAGACTCTTGTAGGAAGTGCCGTCTCGCCTCAGGGCAGGTGTGTCCCTGGGGTTCTGCACACGTCAGGGCGGATGGGGTCCTGTCGGTGGGCAGGGCCTAACCTGAGACTCCAGCCCAGGGACCCTGGCCTTAGGCGGGAGAGGCCACCCACACCCAGGAGGTTCTGTGGGTGGGACCACATGGCCCAGGCCGCGGGTGCCACCTTCCACACCCTCTCATACCTGGGACCCTCTGAGGTCAGGGTGCTGGGTCTTCTGTTCCCTTGACTGAACTCAGGGCAAGGCAAAAATAGTTTGAAAAAAATAAAGCAGCATAAAAGCACTAAGAATGATGTAAGAAAGCACCTTGAAAGGAACCCTTCATCTGGGACACACGAAGTAGTTGTGACTTGGAATCTCCGTGAAGGAGAGAAAGGCGGGTGGTGTAGAACCGCCGGCCATCCCCCCCGCCCCGCCCCAGTGCCCCCTCCTGCGGCTGCCACCAGCCTGCCAGTGTGGGCATCCGCAGATTTCGTTCCTGATTTTATGATGTCTAGCCTGAAGGTGCCTCCGGGTGCTGGGCTGGTGGGAGCTTTCCAGGGTGGGGGTTTCTTTCTCCAGGCGTCCGCCACTGAGGTCTGGTCTGGTTCCGCTCATTTCCGGGCCCCGGGGGCGTCATCCAAGGGACTGAGGGCAGATGCTTGCCGCTCCTGCTCATGGAGGACATGGGCCTTCAGGTCTTCGCTGCTGACCAGAGCTGGGCTAACCCCCGGGGTGCCGCAGGCTGCCCTCAGTGGCTGCGCTGTCCGCGGCCGGGGAGGCCCGGCTCCCCTCGCCTCTCTGCAGGCGTTCCCTGTGGGGTTCTCGCAGCGACATGGAGGTCGCCAAGCCCTCATGCCGGCCATTCCGGGTGGTGGGCGGCGGGACCTCGCTCCTCCCCCTGACCCAGGGCCGCATCGTCTTGTATCCCTGACCTAGGGGGACTGTGGGCCAATGGCGGGGTGGGGGTGCGGCTCAATGGCAGTTCCCGGAGATTCCCAAAGTCCTCTGCCCCACGGCCAGTCTCGGAACTCTGGGCTCCTGGCGGAGGTCGTGGTCGCCATGTGCGGACAGGGGTCTAGGTGCACGGCCCCCTCCCTCTCCGCACCGCCCGTGAGGAGCGCGACCTGGGAGCCGCGGGCGGGCCACCGCGAGCCTCGCGGGGCAGGTGTTGGGGCGCGGGGGGCGTGGCCTCCAGGAGAGGCGGTGGGGGGGGGGAGTTGCCCAGCGCGCGTCTCCCACTCCCCCGTCACCATTTGAAATCACTTAGGACACGAGCTGGAAGGGGCTTGCAGGGCGCGGCGGGGGCAGGGGTCTGGGGACCCAGGGCTCAACCTGGCCACGGTAGCCACCCCACGGGACACCCACGCACAGCCCCGGGGGGCCCCCGGGCACCAAAGACCAGCGCCGGCAGGACGCGGGGGGCGGCCCGCTAGGTCTGGAGGGGTCCCCGGCCGGAGCCGGAGGGGAAGTCCCGGACACCGGGCTCTCTCCTGCTTCAGAGGGACCCCCTGCTCCTACTCAGAACCTGCTCTGCGCCCCGGTTCCCTCGCCCTCCGTACAACTCCCGGGGTCTCCGAGGCCGCGGTCCCCTCCACCCCTGCGCGCTCGCTCCCACGCGGGCCCCTCGGTCCAGGATGAAGGTGCTTGGCCGGGCCGGGGCGGGGTCGGGGTCGGGGTCTGTGGCGCGGTGGGGGGCGGGGACATCCGGGAGGGGCGGGGCCGGCGCTCGCTCCACGCGGCCCCGCGCCAACCCCGGCGGTTCTTGGGCCCCCGCTGGAAGTGGGGTGGTGACCAGGGGAGCCTGAGGACGGGAGCCAGGCCCACCGGCCCGCAAGCGACCCCTGATGCGTCGCTGGAGGTGGGTGCAGCTCACCCCCAGCCCTTCCTCTGGCCCCGGCTTGTGGCGGTCGGAGAGTGGGTCCCTGTGCGCCTCCCAGCGCCAATTACCCCCTTTCCTGCTCTTCTAACCCAAGCCCAGCCCCAGTCCACCCGCTCACCCCTGCCCTGCCCCTTCGCACCTCAGAATCTGCTCGGACCAAACCTCCAGCAACTCCGGGCTGAGCCTCCAAGTCCCCAGCCTCCTGCCCTCTGGCCGTCTGCTCGGGGTCCATGCTGGAGCCCTTGGGGCCTAGGAACTCCGGCATCTTCCAGCATGTGTCCCGACTCCAGACGGCCCACTGAGGCCCCAGGAGGGGTGGAGTCCTTCCCCTGCCATGCCAGCCCCAGCCCCTACTGACAGCCTGCATGGCCTGCCCCACTTGGCATGACAACCGTATGTCCCCAGCGCCGGGTCTGGGGCCCCATCTCCTGGCAGGGGCGCACCCCAAGCTTCCCTTTCCGCCTTGTGGCAGCCGCTGCTGGGGAAGGGGTAGCACCTCACAGACTGACGAACCTGAGATTGACCCCGGAGACACCATTCTCAGGCTGGCCAGTCCTGGAGGCACTACCCAGGGACGGCAGGCAAAGCCCTCAGCAGGCCGGTGTGTTGTGGGAGCTTCTGGACCAGTGTCTAGGGTGGGCTCCAGGTCTGCACCCCACCCACCTCTTCCCCTACTAGGCTCTGAGGCTATGTCCAGGTTGTAGCTCTGTCTTCCCAGCTCCCCTCAACTGCTCCCCCAGGTGCCTGCCCCACCCCTCCCCCAAACCCCAGCAAGTAGCCAGAGGTCCCCAGGGATGGGCTCGTCCACCCCTGGAGGGCCACGCCTAAGCCTTCTCCCCACGCTGCAGTCCCTTGATATGTCCAGTAAGCTGTGTTGGGTGTCCCCCGGGGAGTCTTGGATCTTGCTTTCGGGCCTGTCTCTGGGACTAAGAGGCTCCCAGGGGCCAGAGGAATTGCCCCCTCCTTTCATCGGCATCTGGAAGACCCTCTCCCAGCGCTGTTTGGAGAGTGACCCACTTGTGCCACCGCCGCAGCGGCCTAGCAGGAAATGGGCTCAACAGGTCCCCTAGCCCGTGGCCTAGCCTCCCCCAGTTGCCTCAGATGAGCGGCCCAGAGCCTGAGGGGGCAGGTCCTCTGATTCAGGCCTCCTGCCTCCCCATTCTGCCCTGGCCCCGGTGTTGTCCTCCCCCAGAGGTAGTGGCTGAGTTGGGGGAGGGCCTCTGTGCCACAGCACGTGAGACCTGTGCCTGGTGCTTGTTCATGCACGTGCATCTGTGGGTTTGGGTTATTCTTAGGGAGCTGGTCGGCCCCTGGCTAGACTCTGGGGAGGTCCCCAAGGCATGATCCAGACGCCCCCCCCCC